ATAGATCCAAGGCGTCCCAGGCCTTCTTCGCGTTGGCAGCACCGGTAACCATCGGCAAATGATGATCCTTGACGTTCTTGATGAGCAGATTGATGACCTTCCGTGACTGTCGAATCTGCTCCTCGTTGCACGGCTCGGCGAGCAGGGATTGCTCAAGCCCAAGCTCCATGCACATCGCGCTAAATCGAATTTGCCAGGTAGAGTAGTTGTTGAGATCCAGCGACTCATCAAGCTTGTCCTTAACCATTTTCGATGAGGGATAGAAATAACAATTTGGCGATAACTGTCGGCGCTAAGCGGGGCTCATAACCTATTGGAGAATTGGCGACGGTGACGGCTAACGCTGATTGTTATTCCGGAAGGATTGCCGGTGGCGAAGATATTTAGCACGATAAAATGTTACAAGTAATGTAAAGAGTATTGTTAGCGTTCGGCAGGACTTGAGGAGATTCCTGGTAGGAATACCGATCGTTGTGAGATAAACTAATAGGCGCAGTCACCGCCCTAAATACCGGCGCTAGCGGAAAACTCGTACATTCCGCGATCTAACTGCACGTACATTCCGCGATCTCACTGCGCCGTCCAGACGGTGCCCTAATGTCTATCACTTAGCTACCGGATATGCATCGGTAGCCCCATAAGGTTCTGGGGTAAGTCTTCCCCATTAGTCAGGCGCAGACCCGGGGTCAAATCCCCTGGTCGACAACCACACGAGTTGGGAGAGGACCGTTTCCTCAACATGGGTTCCATCCGTGGTGCATTCCCTCATTTTTTGCGACGCCGCAGGCAAATCCTCCGAGTCCCTTGGAGGTTGGGGGGCCTGGACCATCCTCCATGGCCGGTTAGCGCCAGCACGTGGCGAGTGGACGCCCGACGTCAGTGCTATGGGATCTACCCCGCAGGAACTCCACGCCATTCTGAACGCGATTCAATCTTTCGATAGCCCAGCCGGTTTATCTGGTCAGTCGGTTAAGGTCATCACCGACAATCTTAATGCAGCGAATGTCGTCAACAAGGGCTCCGCTAAAGCGGACAACTCCCACAAGGTCGCCTGCGAGCTGCACAGCTTTTGTTTCGAGCAGGATATCCGCTTGCAAGCGGAGTGGCGACCCCGCGGTCAGAACCAAACTCGCCGATGCGCTTTCGAAACTGCAAGACCCTGACGACTGGATGCTGAAGTTGAGCTGAAACGGAGTAGCCTTGATGGACGCCTGGTAAGAGTTATTGATTGCGAATTCCACTATGGATAGTTTGGTATCCCAATCATCTTGGGTGGGGCTGACGTAGTTGCGCAAAACCTCTTGGAGCAGGCGGTTCATCCGCTCTGTCTGACCATCCGTTTGGGGGTGGTAAGCCGTGGATAGTCTGCGCTCCGTGCCACTACGGCGCATGAGTTCTCCCCAGAATTTGCTAATAAATTGGGGGCCTCGATCGGATACGATTTCCTCTGGAAAACCGTGGCTGCGGAAGACATTGTCCATGTATAGCTGGGCTAAGTCCTCAGCGGTTACATCATTCGTGGTGGGAGCGACCCGGCACATTTTTGAAAGCCTATCCACGAAGGTGACAATGGCGTCGTGCCCCGCCTTAGTGCGTGGCAAATGCGTGATAAAATCCATTGAAACACTAGCCCAGACGTCTCTGGGAATTGGTAATGGCTGGAGTAAGCCCGCTGGTTTCCGCTGAAGTGGCTTGTTGATGTTGTTACAGGGTGGTTAAGCTTCACCAGTTTTAGTTTTAGTTTTAGTTTTAGGCTTGTTGTGTTGGCAGACTCGACACGCCTTCACAAATCGCTCAACATCCGCGGTAATGCCAGGCCACCAGAACTCACGTTTAATGAGTTCCGTGGTGCGCTCGACGCCCCTGTGGCCCGCGTATGGGCAGTCGTGCAATTCCCGCATGATTCGGGATCGTAAGTGGTCCGGACCTTTTGGCACGACTATACAGCCATTGCGGCGGTAATAACCGTCCGCATCACGCACGACACCGTCCCTTCCTAGAGAGCGCATTTCCTCGAAATATGCGTCTTGCTCGTAGGACTGGAGAATTTGGACTGGCAGCTCCGACGAAACAATATATCTTGCTTGCGTATGTGCCACAAAGGTATGGGCATGCATACGGCTTAAGGGATCAGCGACGTTTATTCGACCTGGTCGATATTCCCATGTGTAATGGAAGCGCGCGAGATATTCCAACCAGCGTACCTGACGTCTGGAAAGCTTGGCCAAACTTTTCTGAGAGTCGAGAAACGTATTTGGGTTATGATCCGTTATCAGGGTTATAGGCGGTCCCTCAAGGTAACAGCGCCACTGTTTGAGCGCTGTGATGACACCGAGTAGCTCTTGTTCTGTCGTTGTATAGCTCTTCTCAGCTTGTGTGAATTTAGCGCTGGTATATGCAACAGGTCGCCCTTCCTGAAGGAGAACGCCACCTGTGCCGTGAAGAGAAGCATCAGCAATGACCTCAAATGGTTTTGTGACATCGGGGAATCTGAGTGTTGGGGCATTCGTTAATGCGAACTTAACACCCGCGAAAGAGTCTTGTTGCGCTGGACCCCAGACCCATGGTTCCTTGCTGCCCGTGAGTTTAGTCAAAGGCGCCACCAGGGTAGAATATCCTTGGATGAATTTACGGAAATAATTCGCCAAGCCTAGAAATCCTCTGAGGCCGGACACATCCGTGGGGGTAGGCCAGTCACGAACGACTTTCACCTTAGAGTCATCCACTTTGAGGCCATCCTTACCGACAACCATCCCGAGAAACTTTAATTCCTGTCGGTTGAATTCGCACTTACTAAGCTTAGCCTGTAATTTTTCCTTGCGCAGTGTCTCTAACACAGTGCGCAAATGTTCCACGTGTTCTTGGGGTGACTTACTGAAGATAATAATGTCGTCGAGGTATACCAAGACAAATTTCCCGATATAAGGACGAAACACGGAATTCATAACAGCTTGGAATGTGGCAGGTGCATTAGCTAGTCCCATGCTGAGGACTAGGAACTCGTAGTGCCCAAAAGGTGTACGAAAGGCAGTTTTTTGCCGATCCTGTTCACTTATGCGTATCTGATGATAACCGGACTGAAGGTCAATTGAAGAGAAAATTGTAGCACCATGTAGTGCATCAAACAGGTCTTCCGGATTTGGAATAGGATAGCGGTTTTTAATAGTAGCTTTGTTGAGCTGGCGGTAATCAATGCACATACGTAAACCACCATCCTTCTTTGCAGCGAATAAGATTGGAGACCCCCAAGGAGAGGTTGACGGTTGTATGAGGCCCTTATTAAGAAGGTCCTCAACCTGTCGTTTGACCTCTTCTACTTCTTGTGGGGATAGTCGATACATTCGAGAGAATACAGGACGAGCGTCGGGTTCCAGGTCAATAGTGTGCCCCATGCCACGATCTTTGGGTAAGCCACTAATGGGCTCGAAAACGTCGCTATATTCGTTCAATAATGCCTTTAAGTCCGAGTCCGGTACGACCGCTGTGTGCTTCATGTCCGAATCATCGGTTGATGTGTTAGGCTGATGTGGGGAAGCGAATGTGCTGCAAAGAGGGTTATCCGGAAAACACCGTAAAGGTGGTGGAGGAGGAAGTTCAGAATTGACAGGAAGAGCCACTGGGTTGCTACCAGTAGGATCGGGAACTTCCCGAACAACCACCAGCATGCCGGGTGTGTTTTTCTTAATAGCTCGTCGTGCAGCACTAGCCGACATGAGGTCGGGTGTTGTTTTAGCTGCGAGCGCTGCACAAATAGTCTGCATGGTCCGTACTCCTGCATTTTCCTCCCCACCTGCACCCTGCCTACCACGTGAAGCGTCTGCCAACAGATGGATCGGTTTACGGGAACCATTGGCTGGTGTGCGGAGGAGACAAGAGAGACCTGGAATATCGAGTAGTGCACCATTGGCTTGGAGCCAGTCCATGCCTAGAATTAGTTGGATTGTTGAGGAAACGGTCCTCTCCCAACTCGTGTGGTTGTCGACCAGGGGATTTGACCCCGGGTCTGCGCCTGACTAATGGGGAAGACTTACCCCAGAACCTTATGGGGCTACCGATGCATATCCGGTAGCTAAGTGATAGACATTAGGGCACCGTCTGGACGGCGCAGTGAGATCGCGGAATGTACGTGCAGTTAGATCGCGGAATGTACGAGTTTTCCGCTAGCGCCGGTATTTAGGGCGGTGACTGCGCCTATTAGTTTATCTCACAACGATCGGTATTCCTACCAGGAATCTCCTCAAGTCCTGCCGAACGCTAACAATACTCTTTACATTACTTGTAACATTTTATCGTGCTAAATATCTTCGCCACCGGCAATCCTTCCGGAATAACAATCAGCGTTAGCCGTCACCGTCGCCAATTCTCCAATAGGTTATGAGCCCCGCTTAGCGCCGACAGTTATCGCCAAATTGTTATTTCTATCCCTCATCGAAAATGGTTAAGGACAAGCTTGATGAGTCGCTGGATCTCAACAACTACTCTACCTGGCAAATTCGGTTCAGCGCGTTGTGCATGGAGCTTGGGCTTGAGCAATCCCTGCTCGCCGAGCCGTGCAACGAGGAGCAAGTTCGACAGTCACGGAAGGTCATCAATCTACTCATCAAGAATGTCAAGGATCATCATCTGCCGAT